TCGGTCCTCAGGATGTGTTCAACCTGCCAATATCCACTCTTTAAATCAAGCTTCGAAAACCACTTAGTTCCAGAAAGAGTGTCCAGAATGTCATCAACTGTAGAGGGTGGCTGCCTATCTTCGTAGTCTCGTTCAACTCGTGATAGTCAACGCAAAATCTAGTTCAGCCGACTTTCTGACCATGACGGTGGGAGATGCCATTGGACTTGCTGAAGGGTCGATGACGTCCCTTTCTTGCATGACCTTTAGAAGTTTTCCTACATCTTCCTGTTTAGTAATTCGGTAGGTATCTTGGATGTTGCTTGATTGGTGGATGATACTGAGTATCAATTCTATGCTGTGTCAAACTGGTTCGACCTACATCGCAAGACGAGCGGAAGAAAGTATCTTAAAATTCTTGAATGACACATTCGGCTGCACTCCTGTCTTCATCGCTGAGTCGTGTTTTCTGCAATAACTTCGATATTAGGGTCTCTAAAGACACAAAGATTGGCGGACTATCGGGTCCTTTAATGCAGGTTACTGGAGTATATGCTGTAATCACTTTACCTTTCTTAATCATTTTCGGTTTATCACGTACGCTGGCAATTAACTCGTACCGGGATAAGTGAGCCAGGCCCGCGGCTTATTACTCCTCACTGTGTGTTACAGTTCGTGTGATATTTCATTGTTCGTGTGATAACTTCAAAGAGGGAAGAGAAGGCATTCGAACGAATTTAAAACCATCAGAATTGCTTTCCGCTATCGCTAGGAATTTTTTAAGCTGTCAACTTCTTTGGCAACAGATGGAACTCTAATGTATTTGTTATTAGACAGTAGACACTCTCTTCGATTTTTTTGTTTGGCAGAAGAAAGTCTTTCTCCGATTTGTTATTTGATATGCCGTACGGGAAATTTCTGATTTCGACTATGGATACAGGAAGTAAAAATTATATTCTTGCCGGTACTGTGATATCTATACTGCTATATATATCTTGAGTTGTGATTTGATGGACAGATTTAACTACTTATCATTAATTCCGAACAGCGTTATCCCCTCAGAGGGAGAATGCAATTTGTTATATTTATTATTTATTCATTTTATTACTAAAGTCCAAGGAAAAGTTGTATTTCCTTAGAAAGTCCAGTCCAAGTTTGCGAGGATCTGTAATATCTTCCGCATATGCCGTGTGATGATTGGCGGCATTTCCAAACGTTTCATTAATGTTTAATTTTCCGTCTATCCTCTCCCCGGACGCAGTCTGGAGGGTAACACAGGACGGCTTCCGGGTGAGTTTACCTTCCAGTAGTTGAGCCAGATCTTTTCGAATGATGGGAACATTGGCTTCTGTATCGATGGTCATATTGTAAGGAATCCACTGATGTCTCCCACGATAAAGAGCCCATTTACTGCCACCGCTCACTGCAGAAATTTGAAGCGCTTTAAATTGGGCCTATTCATCATCTTTCAAACTTCGCTACGCAAGATGGCCACTAATTTGTTTCTTGCGCCCTTGATTAGAAACGGTCTTATTTTCCGTGCCTTAGAGTTTTCTCCGCCGCCCAGACTGTATAATAGTTAGTGGAGCCTACTACGATACCGAAGGGCCCTGGTTCGAATCTCGGAGAAGACATGGATGTTTGTAAATGTATAGTGTCGGTGCGCCACTCTAAATATGCGGCGAGCCGAAAGTCCTCTCGTGTGGATAAGTAGGAGATGAGAAGGGTGGGAGACCCCCGGATCCCCCCCGGGATGCACTCCCTCAAAATTGGGGGTGGAAAATAGAAGTCCAACCTCTCTTCCGAGTAGGCTGTGGCAACCTTTGTTTCCTGTAATATGGACAAGACAACAGCAACAACAACAGGGTGTTCTCCAGTTCCTTCGTTCATGGCCATAAGCACCGCAGTTCAGCAATTTATGGTAGGTTTGTTGCCACTGCTATTCATTCTCAAAGCATTGACTTATCTGTCGTTTAGACGTAGAAGTCGTTTAGACGAGCAATTTGATCCACTGGCTTTTGGACTTGAGCAACTCTGATTGGGTGGCGGTATCTATGAGTTGCTTACTGGTCTGCCTCGAATTTCATGGCGTACACTAGAGCTCTTTTTAAATTCTTGACATCTGCCATTCGCAGAGCTTTCTATACTTCAGGATCCCGGATGCCATCGATGAAATACTGCAGGGACAAGATTTCCCTTGTTTCTGTTTGGCATCCCCAAAAGGTGCGATGAGAGAGCCTTTTAGCATTCATGACAAGTTCCTGTAGCGTCTGCGTATCGGCTGCGTCTGCTCTCGGAAAAGCAGCGAGATGCAGACCTTAGCTTGAGTGGGAATCTCATCTATTTGAATCCGCTACTACAAACAATTATCTTATACACTTGCAAGGAGGTCTTACCATCATTGTGCATAACTTCAAAGAGGGAAGAGAAGGCATTCGAAAGAATTTAAAACCATCAGAATTGCTTTCCGCTATCGCTAGGAATTTTTTAAGCTGTCAACTTCTTTGGCAACAGATGGAACTCTAATGTATTTGTTATTAGACAGTAGAAACACTCTCTTCGATTTTTTGTTTGGCAGAAGAAAGTCTTTCTCCGATTTGTTGTTTGAGAGCAGTACCTATTTCTCTGATTTGTTTTTCGGCAGCAGAAACACTTTATTTAGTTTCTCCAACTTTTTTTTCAACCGTGTCTGTTCTGCCTTCCATAGCTTCGAATTTGTTTTCTATTATGCAAATAATTTCTCTTTTCATTACTTTTTAACCAACATCTCCTCTTTAACGGAGTTGACGACCCCATCCTTCTTTTCTTGGAATGCAGTAAAGGCAGTCACGAGTTGCCTTAGTTGCTCATCCATCGCTCACGTCAGCGGCATTCAACCCCATTCCTGACACCAAAAATTGTGTCGTGCTTACGCGTTCGTAACAGACTAAATGAACACAGAACCGATGAAGCTTGATACAACTTATTTTTACCAAAAGAAACGGTTCACAGTTCTGGAACTTTCCACAAAAATAGTCGTATAGCTCTTCACAGTATCCCAGCATACAATCAGTAGTTACATTTTAAACTAACAACAACGTTAAACACAAAATAATGCAAAGTGCATCTAAAAAGCGAAGCTCACAGGGAGATATCTCAGTACTCCGAACTTACGTTATACACAACTGAGAAACTGATGGTCTAGTCGGTCTTATGTAGTTTTTCCCCGGGCCGCCGAGAGATTTCCAGTACCTTCCATTTCTCAAAATAACTGGAAGTCATATGAGGGTCGGGTACGGTTACAGCTACATAGATGATAAATTAGTTAGTAAATTACAATAGCCATTACAGTTATACAGGGACCGCACCAAATGGTCACCAAGTTTGGCGACTTATGGCGTTTTCTCGGCAAATTTGGCGATGAAATTTGGTCGCCAAAATCAGTGCCAGCTTGGCGATAGCCATTTTCAAAATGTTATATAGACTTGCCCCTATATTCTTACTTTCCCGGCGAAGCTACGTTTCTTTAGATTTTTCATGTTACATTATACAAAAAAAAAAAAAAAAAAAAAAATACTACAGTTTTGCGTATTATTTCACTAAATTTATTTACATATGTACAAAATTCGTAACAATAATTTGTTTCATAAGAAATTCAAAGACGTTCACTTACAGTCATTTTTAGGAAAGAATTGCATTTGTATAACTTGTGAAAATTGTTACTATTGCAACAAATGCATTTTAAGTCTTGATATTTAACACTTGACGCCAAAGATGTTACCCTTTTTAATGGACTGGCCCTTTTTCGCATTAAACATATTCGATGGCATTAATGACTTCAAAGTTCTAGCATGATTTTTTAAATATATAATAAGCTTAATTTAGGTAGTTCATTTGTTTCGGAATCCCGCTCCCACCAACGACGAGGGGAGACATCTAATTTTTTTATCAAAATATATGCAAGAAACGTTTCTGAGAAACCATCTGCTTTTTTGCTCTAAAATTTCCTGAGACCTTACACTCTCATTCACTGTATCTACTAATTTTAAAACAGAAGATTGGCTTCATTTGTGTATGAGGAATTGAAACGCTTTATTTGAGAAAAGCTTGATCACATTTGTTGGAATATCTTTCTTCTAATATGATCCCAAGCTGTTTAACAGTTATTGTGATAAATTGTGATGGACTAAATTTTTCTAGCTCCCTTCCCATGAGAAGATGATTTCAAATACAACTTTTGTGAATCCGATAATGTAGTATACTTGGAATATAAATACTTGGAAATGAAAAGATCCCGAATGCCTAACCAATCCTCATGTTTCCATTAAACGATGACAAGTTTAATTTAAGTAACTGTATATTTTTAATTTAAGTAACTGTAACGTTATTTTCAATATTTAAATTGCTTTCATCTTTAACATTAACTTTTGACATTTGTCGTTTATCTTTAACCCATGTAGCGTTAATGTTCTCTTGAACAGTTTGTTGTTCAGTCACGTAGTTATCACAATCCTTCTCATCAATTAATGAATGATCAACTGATCGTTGAATAAGTACTTGCATGTTGTAATCAAGTCGGAGTTACATCATAGCAGCAGTTCTTCGTCAGTAATTTAAGATAAATATGGGAATATTGTACTACTAACGACGGTGTGGAATCGGGATGCATCAAAACAACAAGCATTTCAACAGGAGCTGCAACAGGTAGCTGACGGCAACGATGACGTAGAACCCTGTCTGCCTGTCAACCATATTTTCAGAATTTGAAAGTACTTGATCAAATTCTCTTACATCTTCGATAAAAAAAAATAATTAATGAAATACCTTATCAGTGTAATAGTACTTCTATTTATTCCATTTGTTAATTTAAGAATTTAAACCGTTAAATACATAAATTTGCACAAAAAAAATGCCTCGGTATAAAATTCCAAATAGTATTCTTTGAAAAGTTAAAACGTCAAGATTTACTGCCAAAAGTATAGAAAATGTATTCACATAAAATTTTACAACTTTTATTATTTTGAAATTTTTTGTTATTACAGGTGCTCAAGTCTTCAGCGCTGAAACTACAGCTTTAAGAATGTTCACTGGTGGTGAAGCAAAGCATGGCACAGAGGCAAGTTTTACCTACAACAGAGAAGAAAGAAGTGAATACTGGATATTTGTCATTCGCCTTTATTTGAATGGGAAGTATGAAGACCCTCCCCCAGAAATGTTGCCCCCACTTCCTGAATATGAAGACCAACAGTGTTGTATCATGCTTTAATCTATGCGTACAGAATTGCAACAAAAATGAAGAATGCGGAAAATTTTGCTATTGTTGTGACATTATGAACAATCACTTTGTTTTCAGTATTATTTTGATGTATCACAGATTAAAAGAATACAAATAAAGGAGAATAAAATATATTAAATTTAAAATGTCCCTTTTCTCACATTAACATTCTAATCTAATAAAATTAGTTGACACAAATCATTACAGATGTAAGATTCCTAATTGTTTCAATCTATAGCTAAAGTTGAGGACTCTTAAAAACTGATAAGCGAATATAGGCTTGAGCTCGTCAGACAGAGAACAAAACGTAAGAAGGGTGAAATTACCCTTTATTATTCCAATAAGTTTTAACAGATAACTCCTTTCTTGGAGTTACAATAAAGCCTCCACTCGGGCTTGAACTTAGGAAACTAAGAACTAAAAATTAACTAATCTTAACTAAGAAGATATAGCCAAAGCTATGAAGATTCTAACACAGTTGAGCCCTTCACCCTAATTAACGGCGAAGCTATCAAGGGCCTAAAGTACGGCCGAACGTAGTAATAGCTTAACAGAGAGAGTAGCCTGAAAAGGCGAACGCGTGCTAGTCAGAATCACTGGCTCTCTAACGAAGTTAGTGGAACTTCACAGTTCCACTTCTCCTCGTTTGCATTCAAACGCGATTCTAAAATTACGTTCTAGCCGGAAGTTGTAAGATTGAAATTAAGAAGGGATAGGAAAGTAATTTGGTACTTTTCCGTTTCGCCGGCGCAAATCTCGCCAAGCAGACGTTATTGGCGACAACATACAGTATACACATAAAAAATATTAAAACAATTTAGTTCTAAGAATTCTTTTTTGAGGCAAAGATTTTAATTTTTTATCGCTTAAAACTTTATAAAAAGCCAATAAATAAGACAATAAATTTGTAAAAAAAAGACATTTAATTAAGAATTTACTATGCTTTCATGTTCAACATCCTGATCGCCGGTTTCATATCACGTGACCGCAAGCGATCTCATCTCACGTAAACTACTCTACAAAAATCTAATGCTTAGTAATTATCTACATTAATTTCAAGTTAAATCTTAATTTGGAACACAAGTTTAAAGCAAGAAATATTTCAATGAGTACGAATAGCTTACTCAGAAATTATGTAAAAATGCAGTGCTCTAATTCACTAATGCATTCTCATTAGAATGATGAATTAACCATGACTTTCCTTTTCTGTATTTTCGGCTACGGGTAAGAGCTGTGATTGCATCCTAATTGACTTAATTACCGAAAATGGCCTTAGACATAAAACTGAAGTATCTGATAAAAATTCTATGTAATTATATGCCAGTATTGAAAGAAACAATCAAGAAAAAGCTGCGACTTGTTTCGAAAATGAGCGTAAAAGGTTACCAGCGAGAATATTCCGTTTGGCATCGGTTGTACCATTATTGGCGACTTTATCGCTTGCGCCGCCCTGCTAAAAATTCCCCATAGAAACCAGTAAAACTTTTATGGGTACCCATAAGATTTTAGGGTTTTATTGACTTTACTAGTTTGTGGTCTCTGTGGGTTTTCTTAAGGTTTCAAAATGACCCATAGAAACCAGTAAAACTTTCTACTGGTACTATAGAATTTTGATGGTCTCTACTGACTTTACTGGTTTCTATTGATCTCTGTGGGTTTTTTACTGGTATCACTTGACACCCATACAACCAACATCAATGGCCAGAAACATTGTACTGGTTTGTATAGGTTTTATTGACTTTTACTGGTTTTCTTATTGGTATCAATATAATAATAAATCTTCTGTTGTTATATGGGTTTATGCTATTTTTTATCTGACGTTAATAGACTTCTTGTAAACAATAAAATTAACAGAATGAAAATATGATCTCTTAAGACCATCAGAGTAACGTGAAAAGCATGTGGTCGTTTTTAGAGAGGGTTTTTACTAAATATGCTTATTATTTGATTTAAAAATTGTTTTCGGAAAACACAGTAATCATATACACCATAACACGAGGTCTCTCTAAGGCGACCAGCCAAATAAAATTCTCTTTGAAAGTGGTCGCTGAGAGTGATGCTCAGCCCAATATATACTCACGTTCTCAGAGATACGGTTATCTTTGATGTGGTGTCTTAGGGAGATTGATCTACGGAATGAATCTCTCTAAGGCGACCAGCCACACTAGCAGAATTTCTTTGTGAATGGTCGCCTTACAGAGAGAATATTCAATGCCAAAGTATACTTATGTTTTCAGAAAATGGTCTTTTAAGGCGGGTCTAGAGAGGTGGTTTGCTACGAGTTTGTTCTGAATACACACAATAAGCATACATTTCTGATATTACAAATAAACACCGGTATCAACCAACATCCTTTAACGCAAACAAGTTATTCACAATCGTTCATTCACAATTCACAATATATTATTTAATATGCTTTACGATTACAAATTTACTATTTTTAATGTTTAGAAATAATAATTAAATAAAAATACCCAGCACTGATATGAATATACCACTAAGCATGCACGTGTAATCGTGTCTAATGTTTGAGAGAACGTTGCTGATAACTGACTAGTTGTGAAAGGAGTTTCTGAGCGTGAACTTGATTTCCATCTTACTTTTATCTGAAAAACAATGTTTAAAGATGAAAAGTGATAATTTCAGGACTTAATAATTTGGTCAGTGATCGATGCAGAAATATAGTTTTTTGCATTCTACTGAAATGTATTTTGGAAAATTTATTTTTTGGATTACAGTTAGAAATACTTTTTTAAAGCTTGTTATGTAGATGCTTTCATTTGAATATATGTACTAATAAATTTGAGCATACCTACTAAAAATGATCTTACAGATTCAATTTTCAATTTTCGATAATGTGATGTGGCCGAGCAAAAGAATAAATTTTTTACGTTAAAAAAGTACTAATTATATTCGCGAGCAAAAAAGGTAAGTTTTTAATGAAATAACATTGAAATTTAATGTGTTCATACTTAATGGGGGGTAGACAAGACATACAAGCTTAAGAATCTTTCTCCACTACTAAAATTATGTGAAAATTGATGATCATATTAGCTTACATTGTTTTTTTTTTGGTCTATTTTTCTTTTACAAGTATGAGACTAGAACCACATTTTACATTAAAATATTGTGCTATTTTGTTTTAAAACATATAATATTTTATGCATACTTAATTTTCCTTATTACAGTAAGACCCGCTTAACGCGGGGGATACGTTCCATAAAAGTAGGCGTAATGCGAAACAGCGCTAAACGAGGCTATCTTGACATGTAAATATTGGGGTTAGGGGAAGATGGGTAGAAAATGGTTAGGTATTAAATTTAAAAGTCGGTTTTTAATAAAAATAAAACCAACATTTATTTCTTAAAGCCCAATTAATACCACATTATTATTTCTTGCAAAAAAAAAAACAAAATAAATAACAAAACGAATATCTTAAAAAAAAAACAAAAAATTCTAAGTCAGTCATATTTAGTTAGCCTCCGCGTTTTCAGTGTTCGCCTTTTTGTGACAAAAGCATCTAATGTTGTTTGCCTTTTTTCTTTTGCGTGTTCTCTTAAAATTCATCATAAACGGATAGAGCATCTCTAACACCACGACTTACTTTTGAGCTCCTGTCAAAATTCGGATCATTTCAATGAATGATCATTATTTCAGTTATGGTAGACAAACTCCTTTTACAAACGCCATCGAAAGTTTTTTGCTTTCTTATGAATCACTGCTGTCAACATTTTTGTTTTCTTCTTGTTCAGTTAATCTTGAGTCATCATTAGAAAGACTAGCCGCTGCTTCTTGAATTATTTCTTCGATTCTTCCACATTTACCCCTTCAAAATACTGCACCGTCTGTACAATACCGCACCGAACAAGAATACAAGTACACTCTTCGGATATGTATTTGAAACTATCGCTGCGTAATATTTCGGGGAATCCCCGTATGCTGCGAGCGATTTCGTGGATCTCCGGGTGAAATAAAGAGCGCTAAAAACAGCGTAAACGAACAGCTTTAAGCGGGTCTTCTGTATTGTTTGATGAAAAAATTCAAATTGTTTTTATAAATTGCTTTGAATAAAAAACAGATTGTGAATAAGATTTATTAATATTAAAGTACTAGTTTGGAAGTATAAAAGTGAATTATTATTTGAAAAAAATACATTAAGTTGAACCTCATTTAGTGGTTATTTTCTTAAATGACCACTCTGTAATGGCCCCATTTGTCCGGACAATAATTAAATAAGGACTTAAACCAATGCTCATAGTTTTGTCAGGCTACAGGAAACTGCCATTCTTGAATTGTGGAGTGATTGTTTTAGGAACGTTTTGCTGTTAATCAATGACTTCGGGTATTTTTACGTGGTATGAATTTGAAGAGGTTAATTGAAAGTTACGAGACAATTAAAACCAAAGCTTTCGGATATGAGGTCTTATAAGGGCACTGGATAGCATGCTTTCAAATTAGTTAGAGTAATATTTACATTATTTTCGGAAAAATTCACAGAGAATTCCGGTTGCTCTCTGCGGGAAAAAACCATATAATAAAATCTTCTGTAAGCCTTATACAAATGCAGTTAAAATGTCATACAATAAGGAATATTAGAAATGTTTACAAAAGCTATTATTGCTAAATACTGCACTATATAAATCATTTGGCATTGTAATTTAAAAATGCTCAGCATGAGGTTTTTTTATATTACTAACTACGTCAAAAAGTTAGTACCTTTTCAGTACTTAAATTTTACTCTTTAGAATTTAGTTCAAAATAATATTTCTATACATTTTCTAAAGTATTTTTAAATAGAAATCTAAATAACTTACACTAAAACACTGACTAAATTTATTCCAATAATGAATCGCTTTAATTAAATTTATGTTCCTTTGAGATGATATATGAAAAACCTTGTGTAATAATTAAATTATTAATATATAGGTAAATGGTATTTTTATAATTTACGGGTAAAGGCTAATCGCCTACTTATTTATTTGTACTTTTTCTAAAGTAAAAAGAATTGGATTTTGTCAATTTTCCTTTAACTTTTAGTGAAAATAGGTCGATGTGTACTGGATAAGTCAAGGGTGCGCAATGCATTTTTGTACAATTCGGGACGTTTTTTTTAAGTGAAAAAATCGCGTTGTACATGGATACCGAG